TGAGTTTTTGCCTTGGTGGCTCTGTCTGTGGTGGGTTTACCTGTGGCATGGATCTGTTGGAGATAAGAAGGTGCTAGTGTCAGTAAAGCACTGAAGAAGGGGTGATGGGAATGGGGCAGACAGTTTTCCCAGCTGTAGGAATTAAAACCACTTCTGCAAAACATGGAGATCTTCATAAGTGAGGCCGCTGGGTTTGTATCCATTAGACTAATTATACTGGCCTTGATCCTGCAAATGTGCTCAGGGGTGAGAATAGCAGAGGCTTTAGTGCAAATGGTGCCTGTTGTTCTAGCTGTCAGGTTTATTGCCCGAAGAAAACAACTCTTTCTCTCTTGAGCAGTGTAATTAGCATTTTCCATCACAGCTTTTGGTTCAAGTCTGGCAGGAAGTCTAAATAAAACAGCAGCCTGCTTCAAGAAAGGTGCACAAATACAGGGTTTTCTTGAATGAATTTCATGTGCCAGCATCGAATAGTTCACTGTATCTCTGTATTGGGCTGAACATTTTTGGCAGGGAGATTACTGCCTTGTTTCTATGGCAACTGAGATCATGTCATGGATACTTGGACATAAAACCCCATGTGCTCACAGCTTCGGCTCTGAGAGTGCCAGTTAAGCTGTGAGCACAGATTTCTTCCTGCATGCTTGCAGGAGTTCAGTTTCAAGCAAGCCAAGACAACTCCTTTCTCTGTGCATCTTTCTTTAGGGTGATTAAATACTTGTTTGCAAATGTTACTTGGATCTACTGGTTTCACAAATACAACAAGCTAGTGGGTATCTGGCTTTTTTCCTCTGTTCTGGTTTAGGGGAGAAAGAGCCCTCACAGACATCAGTGGGTTTTACTGTTTCTTCTCATCATGACTTGTGTAAAAAATGAGTTACGATAAATGGGCATTGCTGCTTTGGTTTTATCCCTCTGCTATCTGATTCTTTAGGTTGGGTAGAAGGCAGAAGCTCTTCCCTGTGAGGGTGCTGAGGCGCTGGCACAGGGTGCCCAGAGAAGCTGTGGCTGCCCCATCCCTGGCAGTGTTCAAGGCCAGGTTGGACACAGGGGCTTGGAGCAAGCTGCTCCAGTGGAAGGGGTCCCTGCCTGTGGCAGGGGGCTGAAACTGGATGAGCTTTAAGCTCCTTCCCAACCCAAGCCAGTCTGGGATAAGAAGCCTTCAATAACGAGATGATAAATTGAAGGAGCTCTGGGCTTGCCTACGGTGCTGGACAGGCGAATTTGCCCAAGAAAGCCCTTCAATTTAATAACTCCACGTTGGTAATAAAAGCCAGTAAAAGCTACTGCATCTGATTGTGTTCAAATGGACTTAAAGCTTCCCCTGTAAAAGAAATGGAAAAATAAAGGCAGATTCCAAGGTAACTGGAGGGATAGATTGATTCGCTCTTACTAAGGGGTTTTAATTGTTTCCTAGCTCTGCATCATGCACATAGATTTCTAACATCCACATTTGCAGTGAGTGCTCTGCCCTGCTTCTGCCTGGGAGGAGAGAGGCAGAGGGAATAGCAATGACTGTACTAACAGGAAAAAATTGGTGTGGGAGAGGTGTAGTAAGAGAACACGCACAGAAGCAGCATCAGAAACCTGGTGTTTGTTAGGGGAGGAGCAGAACTGGTGATAGACCCCCATCTCTTAGCCCTGGCTTCTCTGAAATGCTGCTTGTGCTGGCACTGTGGAACGTTCTGTTTGCAGTCTATGGTTTAACAGAGCTCAGATCTGCTCTTTGCAGAAGCACTGATTCTGGAATGAGCTTATATACTCACCAGTGATAGCCCTTGGCAAGCATCACTCGCTGTGCCTGCTTGCTCCTGCAAGCTGCTTTGCACAAAGCGTGGCTCTGATGATTATCCTTTGGGGTGGGGATCTGTCTGGCTTGGTTGCAGGACTAGTGAGGCAGCAGTGGAAACATGCAGTGCAGAAGGTGTTATCAAGGCAATGCCACAGCTGGATTAAGTAGCCTAAACCAGGGCATGTCACACTGAGGCTTAAACAAGTTATTCAGCATGCTGCTCAGCTGCTTCAATTGGTGATTTGTAGGCTGCTGGTTGCAATCTGCATAAAAGGTATAAAAATAGTGTTGATTACTGAGTCCTTTCCATAGCCTATATCTGGCATAATGTCCTATATAATCTTAACACTCCATTTCAGACAGAGAGCTAAGCAGGGAGAAGAGCTGAACCCTGACACAGCTTGGTTGTTTTCAGAGTGAAGGTGTTCAAACACACGTTAGCCCTCACTTGGGTGAGTTCTTCCAGCAGGGAAAATGTTTTCTTCCACCTCCTATCAGGCTTAAATTAAGCAAGAGATGGAGGAATGAGTCCTACACTCAATATTGACCCCTAACAGCATCCCTTTATCTTGACACATCTCTTGATCTTCGTCTTTGTACTCTGAAATAAGTGGTGATGTTTGGAGCTGTGAGGATTGAGTGTTGCATGACACCACTGAGGAGGAAATGGGATGAGGGGAGCAGTGGGATGCGTGCGCTGTTGGACCCATCCAGTGAGGCTTTGCTCCTGCTCTTGGAGACCAAAACCCTTCAGTGTCTCACTGAAATCAGGCAGTTGATGATGTGATTTACAGCCATTCCACTGCAACATCGGTGCCTTGCAATGAGTGGAGGAAACCATCAGCTGGGCTGTGGCAACTGTTAGATTAGCTTGGTTGCAACATCAAATTCCTCTGCCTCTTGAGCTATGTGGTTGCTTTCATCCTTCATGCTCTTGGCCAAGAAGGCATCAGTGCTCTTTCCCCTTCTTTTAGCCTCTGAGTGCTTTTTGAAACTTCTGATCCTCTGGGCTATAGGCAAGGAATGATTTGCACTTTGCCTTGCAATGTCAGTGCTCTGGGGAATAAAATGCAGGGATGCTGCCTTGGATCTGCTTCCTTGTTTCAGTGCTTAGGCCTTTTATCCAGGGAATAAAAGTCCTTTTAAGGCTGGGAATTGTGCATGAAATAATGGATACTTGGACTGCATTAGAGACCTGCTTGAGGTCTGGGGTTTTAGCCTATACAGGTAATGATGTCTGCCCGAAGTACCCAGCCGCTTCCTTGTCCATTTGATTTGGAGCAGTCACATAAAGTTTTCTTCTTCAGACATCTGCAACAAGAGAAGAAAAGCCCCATTTCTTAAGCAGAATCTAGAAGACCAGAGGAGAAACTGAGTTTGGGCAGGCTGGAGCTGAAGCTTTTGCTCTTACTTGGGTTGCGCACAGGGGAATTCTGCAGAGAATCCTTTTGGAGAAAGTGTTGCAATGAGAAGCTAATACAGTGCTCTGATTTCCTCAAACCTGCTGGAGAGTAGGGCCCCTGTGCTGTGCTATAGGATGCCAAACTCATGATCTTCAGGGAGTCCCTGGCAGTGCTCAAGGCCAGGTTGGACACGGGCTTGGAGCAAGCTGCTCTTGTGGAAGATTGCCCTGGCTGTGGCAGAGGTTGGAACTGGATAAGCTTTAAGGACCCTTCCAACACAAATCATTCCATTATTTCCAGTCTTTTTGCTTGCTGCCGTATGGATTTGATCTTCATGCTCCCAGCTACATGGCACTAAATCTCTCTGAGGTCTGAAGGTCCTCCAGGTCAGTTAAAACCCAACTAAAGCAAAGCCAAGCTGCACTGCTTTGCCAGCTCTCCAAACCCACATAGGGGCTGGCAGAGCTCTTTAGTTTTGCTTTCCTCTTCTCTTCCCAGCAATGGGAATGGAAATGATGAGTGCAGGGCAAGGTGGGAAGAGGTAGCACAGGATGTCACTGGTGCAGTGGCCACTGCTTTGCCCATCCCCACAAGTCATTTCTGACATGACCATTGTATTTTTAACTGCCCCCACCTGATGGTGTCTGACTGGTCTGTTTTAAGAACCTGGCCTGCTGCCATTGGTGTGTTACAGATGGGGAAATAATTCTCTTTCCCTGCCTTAAATAAGGGAGCTACTCAACTCTTGCTGCTCTAGTGAGCTGCAACGTGGTCACACCAAACCAGCCCCGGTGGCTGCTTGGTTTGGTCCCTATTTCCAAGCACAGAGCAGTGCTGCCTGGGAGCCCAAAGGGATGAAGTCTCTGTGCAGAGCTCCCAGCTTGGCTCCCTCCTTGTTTTTCCTGCTAACATGCTCTCCTTTCCGGGAGTTCTAAAATAGCCCATGGGCCGAGGCCAGCTCCTGATGCACAAGCGCTTCCCCTGGGAGCAGCGTTTTCCTTCCTTGCTGCAAGCTCTGCCACTGAAATGAGGGGGAAATGGGGAAGTTTGGGTTCATCCTCTATTTAGGAGCCGAACCGGATGAAGAATCACCACTGGAGAGGAGGCATGGGGCTGCCTGGGAGCCAGGAGGTCGCTTGTAATCCTTTCTCTACCAGTGGCCTTCTGTAACCTGCTGCCTTGCCTGTATTTATTTACCTCCTAACTACAGGCCTCTGCTCTGAGCTCAGTGCTGGAGCAGTACAAGGGGTGCAGAAGGCACGGGTGTTTCTTTCCAACACATCAGGCCCCTTCTGTGGCCAGAGGGGATGGTTGGGTGCAGGTGATAAGCCATGCTCTTCCTCTTCAGCTATTTGAGGATGGGCTTGGTGGTATTTTTAGTGTCTGCCTGTGAAGTCAGCCTTGAGCCTGTCTGCTTGGAGGCCTTCCTTTCTAATTTGGGCAGGGTTGCATACTTGGAGATCTGCCTGGGGACTGGGGACCTTGTAAGAATTCCTGCTAACAAGCCTATGTCTCCCAGGCACTTGGAGGTGCTTATTCATCAGCTGTGAGGGATCTGTACCTGTTCAGAGGGAACAGATCCTTTTCTCTGGTTGCTCCTGAGACTGATGGAGAGTGAAATCCCATCGTGTCTGTCACCTAAACCACTTGATGTTGTTTCTCATGGGTATAACCCTGTGTAATACCTGCAATATTTGCTTTCCTCATTTGTGCAGAAGCAGAATGGTGGTGTTGCATCCAATGGGCTGGTCTGAGTTCCTTCAGAGTGTACCTACTAAGGCTCTTTGTCTCTCTTTAACTTGCAGGAGTCTGAGTCTGAGAACAAGCTGGATGGAGAGACAGCATCAGACAGTGAAAGCAAATCTGAGTTTGGAGGATCCCCCCCGGTGCCAACATCAGATGACACTCCAGAGGTCCTCAACAGGGCCCTCTCCAACCTGTCCTCAAGGTACCACTCACTGAGCATCATCTCCCTCTGCTGCCAGGGTCCCTGCATGGTCACTGGGGCTGTCCTAGCCCCAGCAGCATGGTGGTGGCTGCTGGAGGCTGAAGAAGCTGCTCTCAGAAGCGCTGTGTTTCCCTCCCTGGTATGCAGGAAGGTGCCCCTGAGCCACAGGAAACAGAAGATGATGGTGACAGTGCTTGGGAGAGCAGAGCTCTCAGGGGTGCTGTGGTGGGAGAGGTCCCAAGAAGAAACTAGGAGTATTCTTTACAGGCTGCTTTGGGGAGGAAAACATCTTATTTCTGTCATGGGAGAAAGTGTCTCTGCTGGGTGTGCTGTGGGGATGGGAGAGGTTTGAGGCAGGGTGGTGGGACATAGGACCAGGTTGCCCAGAGAAGCTGTGGGTGCCCCATCCCTGGCAGTGTTCAAGGCCAGGTTAGACCTGGCTTGGAGCAAGCTGCTCTAGTGGAAGGTGTCTCTGCTCGTGGCAGCGGTTGGAACTGGATGAGCTTTAAGGTCCCTTCAACCCAAACCATTCCATGATTCTGTGATTTCATGGTCTCCTGGACAGCAGTGAGGGTGCAACACACCAGAGCACATGTGTGCTCTTGAAAAAGGGTGTAGAGATGGGTAATGGTCCCCATTTTAGTTGAACTTATCATGTAGCTTGTCCAAGGTGTGTGAAACCTGTAGCTGAGCAGGAACAGACACTCTCCCATCCCATTTCAGCGCCCTGGGAGATGCTCTGCCCCTGCATGTAGTGAGGGGGAGACTGAATTGTACTGCAGCCTCGCAGCTGCTGCAAGCAGGCCTTCAGTGGGTCGAGGCCTCTGCAGCACTGAAAGGAAACTTGGGGTTCCTAGGGCTTGTTTCCTTCCTGTGATATGCAGAGAGCAGCAGTGCTCTCCTGCTTCCTTGCTTTGGTTTGACTTTCTCTAACGTCTTCCCTTCTCTGTGGCTTAGATGGAAGAACTGGTGGGTAAGAGGCATCCTCACGCTGGCAATGATCACCTTCTTCTTCATCATCATCTACTTGGGACCCATGGTCTTAATGACAATAGTAAGTGCTTCAGAGAGATCCTGGCACTCACAGTGGTTGGGGCAAGGTTGCTGGGGTGGGCAGCTCAGAGCTGAGTATTGTAGAGGTCCTTTGTCCACTTGCTGGATTTCCTCTGTGGAGGAAGCCTGGAAGGAATCAGTGACTGCCTGCCCTGATGGGCAGCATATGGTTGCAACTGAAGCTAACACCAGGAGTTGTCAGGAACCTCCTGCAGAGGAAGGGGGAGGGAAAAGCAATGTGGGCAGCTTCCCATGTTGGATTAGGAGACTCTGCCAGACTGGCAGCAACTGCTAAAGTACCTTTTGCTGTACACATACATGGCTTTTTATCTCCCTGAGGAAAGAGGTGTTTAACCAACATGTGTGAGATCTTCTGCATGTCTTTTGTGCAGGTGATGTGTGTCCAGATCAAATGTTTCCATGAGATTATCACTATTGGCTATAATGTGTACCACTCATATGACCTGCCCTGGTTCAGGACACTCAGCTGGTGAGTAAGGGGGCTTCTGTGGCACAGTAATGCTTCAACTCCTCACAGATCTTCTGGCTGCCTCCAAACCAGAGACCCTGGGATTGCTCTGTGCTGACCAGGGTCATCTGGTAGCAGGTCTTGTCAAAGAAAAGCCCCCATAAGTCTTGAAAGAGCCTGTCTGGATAAAGGTTGTCCAGAGATTTTTGTCCCATGATCTGTGCAAGGACCAGCATTGACAGGCATGATCCTTTGGAGATGGACATGGGTGCTCAAGTGAGATGGGAGTTTTTAGGTGAACACTAGGACTTAAGGGCTGGGCAGAGGGCAGGCGCAGCGCTTTGGGGCTGCAGAGGCCTGTTGAGGAGTGCCACCTAAAGGCAGAAAGTCTTTGTGCATCAGGAGCCCAATTCCAAGTCTCTTCCCTGTGGGATCCATAGCAAGGCAGAGCTGAGTGCTGCAGCCACTGGTTCAAATGAAGGTGGGATTCCTGAACTGCAGGAAATCAAGTTCTGATGTCAATTGAAGCAAACCTGTTTGCAGTGGGCCAGAGCAATAGGAAGACCTCAGGGATCAGTCACTTTCTGTCTCTCTAGAAGCCTTTTGGGGTTCTGCTAACGAGGATCTGCATCCTTCCCAGGTACTTCCTGCTCTGTGTAAACTACTTTTTCTATGGTGAGACTGTGACAGATTATTTCTTCACCCTGGTTCAGAGGGAGGAGCCCCTGCGAATCCTCAGCAAATACCACCGCTTCATTTCTTTCACCCTCTACTTAACAGGTAGGGACCACGTTTTCTCTTGGTTCATCTTGGCTGGGCTGGAGGGGAGAAACCTCCTTGAGCTAACCTTGTCCAGAGCCTTGTGTGCAATGCAGTGTCCATAGCAAGTGAGCTCTGCTCTTCAGTGATGCTGTAACTTGGGTGCATTGTTGGAGTATCTCTTACATGAGGCTCTGTATAAGGAAACTCCATTACTCCATATGGGTCAGCCAAGCTTGATTGTTAATTGTCCAAGTATTACTTATAGGCAGTGGTATTTTGTGACCTCCAAAGTAGTTCATCTTCCCACTCCCCATTGCTGCTCCCTAAGGAGCTGTGTCATAGTGAAATAGTATTTGTTGCTGTTGAAGATGCATTCCCACCATTTGCTATCCTTCTGTCTCTCATCAGGTTTCTGCATGTTTGTTTTGAGTCTGGTGAAGAAACATTATCGCCTCCAGTTCTACATGGTAAGGTTAAATGCAGGGCCTGCCTGCCCCCACTTGGAGGCAGAAGGAATAATGTAGGCTGCTTGAAAATCCTCTGTGGAGGACTAGGTGTGTGCTGGTTGTGCATTGAAATGCTGCCTGGAAGAAAAGTTACTGTGAGCAGAGGGTAGTTTTAGGAAGCTTTCCAGTTTATTCAGCACACAGGGGTATGGCTTGGGTATCTGTCAGTCTCTTCTTATATTGTCAAAAGGCTGAGAGGTGTGGGATGAGGGTGGGCTAAAGAGTGTTTGGTCTAGCAGAAGTCTTCCCAATGAAGGTCACCTCTGGGCTTAAGCTAAAGTATGCCCATAAATTACTGCTGGTGACTTGTCAGCTCTGATGGCCCTGGGTGTTTGTTGTGGTGAAGGTGCATGCTAGACCTGCACATCTGCATGAGCTGCTCTCTGAGGTGTAGCATCTGATTGCTAGAGCATCACTGCCAGTGATGTGTATGGCAGTGTCTAGTGCTTGCTGTCTTCTCTTCCAGTTTGGATGGACCCATGTGACGTTGCTAATCGTTGTTACCCAGTCACACCTCATCATCCACAACCTGTTTGAAGGGATGATATGGTGAGTTGCTGTGTGTTCCACGTTGCTTTGTTTTCTGCAGAACACTGACCACGTTTTTTGAGTTCAAACTGTTCTACAAAAACGAATGGCCAAGGAGAAGGTGCTTTGTGTGAGGAGCTGACCTGTTCAGAGTAGAGAGACTGGGACCTCTTCAGCATAGGACTTGCTTTGAGCTACTTGAGCAGTTCAGGGAGTTCTTGTAAAGAAGCATCTGGACATTGCTGTGGGGTGCAGGGACCTATTAAGCAGCGTCAGGCCTTTGTAGATGCTTCCTTTTGATACCCACATCTAGCAAATGATGGGCAAGTGTTGCTCAGCACTTGATTTGGGGCAGTGCTGGCAGTACCATGTTAAAGCAGCACTGTGAAAGGAAGATGGCAACCTGCCACCTTACTCCAGCTGCTGTGGAGAGGGAAAGCCCCTTTGGTGGGATTACCAAACCCAGCAGGGGCAGGAACTGATTTTGGCCACTTTAAGACTTCACGTTCCTCTGTGTGTCATAACCATCCCAGGAGACTTTGGAAGCTGCCTGCTTACAGCTAAAATGCACCCTTCAGGGGTGAGGGAATCTAACAAGGCAAGTATATAACAGCATGTCATATGTGGAAAAGAAAATGGGCTTAAACCAGGCCATTTTGGCTTCTCAACCTGCTTTTTAGTCCAGAGCACTAGAGTAACGCCCAAGATTCCCTAGGAGCTTTATGTGGCTGCTCCTCACATTGCATTGCAGCAGGAGGTGTTGGTGTGATGGCACTGCAAAGCATCTTATAGAGCTTATTTGAGTCTTGGAGTTTTATCTTGGCACTTCCCAATGGTTTGATTCTTCTCCCATCCAGGTTCATTGTCCCAATTTCCTGTGTGATCTGCAATGACATCATGGCATACATGTTCGGGTTCTTCTTTGGCCGCACACCACTCATCAAGGTTTGGAACACTTTGGGGGGCAAAACACCCATTTTTGGCTTCTTTGGGTCTTAGCCCTGTGTTCCCTCATCTCCAGTTTTATGGCTGCTTGTGGGTCTGAAGCAAAGCTCTAAATTAAACTTGGTCTTTGAGGCTGTAAAGTTAAATCATAGAATCACGGAGGTGGGAAAAGACCTTTAAGGGCATCAAATCCAACCGGGAATGAATGAACCATGTCAGACCAAGATGTTGGTGTCAGCTTCTGACCAAACTTGTTGGTTGGTGGCACTGATTTGTATTGCCTCAGCAATTCCCAGGGGAGGAAGGGCTCCAGGGGTGTGTGGAGATGTATGGTCTGTAATTCCCCCCTTTCCTTTCTCTGCAGCTCTCCCCAAAGAAGACCTGGGAGGGGTTTATTGGAGGATTCTTTGCCACTGTTTTGTTTGGATTGCTGGTAAGTAGCAACCATGGAGCTTCTTCCATTGTTCTCTTCCCTTGATAGGTGTCCTGTCTAAAAACTGCAGCCCAGCTTTAAGCACTCTGGGCTCTTGCCACAGACTTCCCTTTTCCCTGGCTGACCAGGATTTGAACTGCCCATGGCTTTGTGTGGATGCTGCAGATGGAACAGCACTGCAGGAGGTTTTTAGTCCATTTTAGACCCTGTGACATGTTCATTACAGTAACTATCCATGACATTTTCTCTCTGCTGCTGTGCATCATTTCAAGGGCTGTGTAGGGAACAGAGCACTCAGAATATTCTTATCTCGTTTTACGATGATCTCTGTGTCTGCTTGGTTCTGTCCTCTCAGCCCAGGGTTTCCTGTCTCAGCGTGTCCTTATGGGGCTCCGAGCACTGCTTGTTGAGCAGATGCGCTTGCTAAATGGAAATGCTCACTCTGCCTTTAGCCAATTAGTGCTTCTCAGGAGAGTAATCTCCTTACTGAAGCTGGGAGCATGGCTCCCTCCTTGCCTTGTCCCCTTGAGTTGCCTTTTCACTTGAGATCAGCTCTGCCACATTGCTCAGGGAAATACTAATCCTGTTTTCTCTTGCCGTGTCTCTTTTCCTCTCTCCCGGAAGCTGTCCTATGTGATGTCAGGGTACCGGTGCTTCACCTGCCCTGTGGAGTTCAACAATGACACCAACAGCTTCACAGTGGACTGTGAGCCATCCGAGCTGTTCCAGCTACAGGAGTACAATATCCCTGTGGTGCTGCAGTCCGTGGTGGGCTGGGTAGGACTCTCTTTGCTTACTGGATCTTACTTATTGGGATAGGAATTCTAAGAGACCAGGGCTTTATTTTGATGGTCTTCGAAGAGACATGACGAGGGATGATGGTACAAAAGGGGGATTTTAGTGGTGCTCTGTGTTGGCTGATGGCCCAAAGAAATCATCCAGAGTCCGGTGGGACATTAAACTACTTGAAACCCAACTGACCTAAAGCCTGGAGAAAACGGAGAAAGAGGGGTAAATGCTGTTCTGATTGAAAAGCTCTCTCTGATATGATGTTCTTTCTGCAGAAGACAGTCCGGATGTACCCCTTCCAAATCCACAGCATCGCTCTGTCTACTTTTGCCTCCCTCATCGGGCCATTCGGAGGCTTCTTTGCAAGTGGATTTAAGAGGGCCTTCAAAATCAAGGTGAGGATGGTGAAGGTCCTTTCCGTTCTAGAAAGGAAAGGCTGAATGGTTGCTACCACTCTAAATAGTCTCTGTGCTCTGAGGAGTGGCAGGCTGGGCGCTTTGGGAAGGGATGGGAGGTTTGCTGGGTCACAGGGAAAATGCTGGAGCAGGATCAGGGGGTTTTAACTGAATGGGGAGGGACCTTAACATTTCAGCTGGTATTTGAAATGCTGCTTTTGTGCAGATCTTGAGCTAGAGGAAGAAAGAGCCAGTCAGGAAATTTTGCAATCTGAGGTTTCCCTTGATGTCTTGCACTCTGGCTTTATGTCTAAACAGTCTATGTTCCGTTAAGATGCCTTGAAAAGGCAAGATGGGGTTGCAAGAGATAAACATTGGCCTTCCTTGACCTTTGAGTGACAGATCCGAGTTAAGCCTTGATGCCCCTCAGGCACTGGTGGTCTTCCTAAAGGAGAGACTTTTAAAACCAGGGGGAGATTAAACAAAATATCTTCTTAATCTGGCTTTTGCCTTCTGGAGAGAATTACTGCAGGGGTGTGTGTCACACACAGAGGTACTAATTCAAGTGCAGGGCATTTGACACTGCTGAATGTGCTCTCTTCTGCTTTGCACAGGACTTTGCCAACACAATCCCAGGGCATGGAGGTATCATGGACCGCTTTGACTGTCAGTACCTGATGGCAACCTTTGTTAACGTGTACATTGCGAGCTTCATCAGGTATTTAGTGCTTTGTGGGGAAGTCTGGGGGCTCTCAAACTTAGGAGATGTACAGGCTTGTAGTTAGAATCATAGAATCACAGAATGGTTTGGGATGGAAGGGACCCTCAAAGCTCATCCTGTTCCAACCCCCTGCAATGTGCATATGGACATCTTCATCTACTTCAGAAACCACGTCCAGCCTGGCCTTGAATGTTTTCAGGGATGGGGCATCCACCACCTCTCTGGGCAACCTCTGCCGGTGTTTTACCACCCTCATTGTAAAGAATTTCTTCCTCACATCCAGCCTGAATCTCCCTCTTTTAGTTTTAAACCATCACCCCTTGTCCTATTGCAACAGGGCCTGCTAAAAAGTCTCTTCCCATCTTTCTTATAGGCCCCTTCCACAGTGGACAATGCTCTTGGAGCAGATCAGGTTTGGGGTTGAGGTTTTTGTTACAGTTCATCATCCTGTGCTTTCTGAAGCCATTTCCACACCTGAAATGGAGTTAAGCTCCTTGGGTAGACCTGGGAAAGGAACAGATATCATGGAGATTTAGCAATGTGACTCACTGCTGCTGATGCTTTTGTGTTTCAGAGGTCCCAACCCAAGCAAACTGATCCAGCAGTTCTTAACCTTGCGGCCAGACCAGCAGCTCCACATCTTCAACACACTCAAAGCACACCTTGTTGACAAGGGGATATTAGGTCGCTTGGAGGATGCATAGACAGTGGTGATTGGAACAGGACTGAAAACAGACCCACCTCCTCGAGGAAATTCCTGGCTCACCTGATCTCAGACAATAACAAGGCCTCATTTCACTGTAACTTTTCTTCCTTTCTTGTTAAATGTTTGCATTTTGGGGTGTTTTTTTTAATAATAAATTTCTATAGCTTTGGTTCAAACGAGCAAATCTTGGGTTTGTAGCTGAAGAGGAGCTCAGAAGGACTGTTGGGTGAAGTAGGAGGGTATGGCTGTCCTCGTGGGCTGGTCTTCACCTCACTGCATGTGGGCAGCGCTGAACTTCTCCTCTGAGTGTGTTTCTGCAGGGAATTACACCAGCGTTGGCCGTACGTGTGTGAAGGTGAAGCCATGCAACTCCTGTCGGGCCAGGCTGTGGCCACGATGGCAACTCTGGGATCATCCTTTCTCCAGTGGGAACTGTGAGTGCAGTGTTCATATCCCCAGACAGCCACGGTCCTGCTTGCGTGCAGTCTCCTGTAGCCTGCACGGTGAGCACGAGGCTTCCCTCATTGGAAGAGGATCTTGTTCTAATCCAGCTGTATTTCTTCTGCCCAGCCAGGCACTTGCATCTGTGTTCACTTGCTGCTGCTTGCAGTGCCTCCCCCTCCCCCTTCTGGCTGATAGTTTGGCAAATAAGAGTTTTATAACCAATTAAACCAGAAAGACTGAGGAAAAAGAGTCAAGAACCTGGTAGTTGCTTGTGGGAATGTGGGAGGTTCCAATTGCTTCAATACTGAATGGAGTAAATAAGGTTTGAAAGAACATTGAAATGCCATTGAGTAATTCCTGCCAAGTAAAGCAGGAACAACCCTTTAACTTGGTTCATTTCCCCCCATCAAATAACCTTTAAGCAACACTGAACCACACTTTGGTTGGAAACCCCACACTGGGAGATAAATCTGGGGAGCATATTCCTATTGTTCCTTCTCCTGCAGCTGCTGGTTGGGGCTCCAGCACCCCCTGGAGCTTTCAGCTGGGTATTTTGGTTTCCTTTCAGGGATCATGTCTATCACCTGTTTGTTACTTGAGTTCTAGATGTCCTGCTGCTGAGTTCATCATGGTCTATGTCGCATTTCAGTCTGGGTTCATTTACCTGCAGGCTTCTGTCCTGCTTCTCTTCCTAAACCTTGTCATAAGTAGTTTGTACTTAATAGGTATAAGTTTTATCCAAGTATTTTCCTTTATTTTGTCATACTTTTGTATTATTTAAAAATGAGAGCCCTAAAGATTGTAAACCTCTTTTTTTTGTGATTAGATAACGAAAATATCCCCCCCCTTTACACCTTTTGCAATGATCCCAAACACGAGGTGACTCTGATTTTACTTCTTTCTATAGTTTGTGCATGGGAGAGAGAAACTTCATCATATTTTAACCTGGGGAGCGAGTGTCAGGGAAAGATAATACAGAAGTACATTGCTGTTTTCAAGCATCCACCTTCCACACAGCCACCCCCTGCATATAGAGACATGCACACACTGCAAGCTAGCTAAGTATCGACAGAAAAGAAGTCACCTGGACATAGTTTGTAGCTCAGAGTCCGTATTCTGATCCTGCCATTGCTTTCCTTTCCCCTGAGTGAGCCAGAGAGCACACATGTGTAAATACATGACCAGATGCCGACGTCTCTCTTACATTCCTCCTTCCTGAGTGCTCAGCTCTGCTTCATCTCCCTCATCAGGAACCACAGGGCAGGAGGTTGTGCTCCTTTTGCTGCAGGTATTTGGGTGAAAGCAGATTGCAGGGAAGAAGGGGCTGCTTCCACAAAGTATCTTCAGCCAGTGCTGGCAGAGTTGCTGGCTTCTGGCTTCTGCTACAGGGGAGCCAGTTCAGGACTGTTTGAAGCTAGTGGTTGTACATAGAGGCTTTCCTGTTCTGGCTGTGGAGACTCTTCCCTTCCAGCCTGAGTTAGGCAGGGGTCTATTTTCTGTTGATTTAGAGGTCTCATCCCCTAATTTGGGAATTAAAGGGGAGAATTAAGGTGCTTCCATCTCCCTTTGTGCAGGGAGGATGCTTGCTCTGTATTACACAGAACCATTCGGGTTGGAAGGGACCTCTGGAGATCGTCCAGTCCAACCCTTTAGCCACCTAGAGCAGGTTACACAGGAGCACATCCAGGTGGGTTTGGAATGTCCCTGCAAAGCAGTTTGCCCTGTGGGGTCAGAGAAGCTGATGCTTTTCTGGATTCCCCAACATCTGCCAAACCCCTTTGTAAGTGCACTCTTGGGTCCTAAGTCAGTCCTCAGAAGCTGTAGTGGTGATAGGTATTACAAGAGATGCTCTTTATGTTAAGAAGTTTTTCCATATGGCTCTGCAGTCCCCTGCTCATGTTGCTTTCAGCCTTTGGTACCTCTTTAGCTGTAATTAGTGGGGCAAAAGCCTAACACAAAGCTTTCCTGCATGCTTTTGAGTGAAGCAGCATTTGGGCCTTTTGAAGGGTGCGGTGCTGGCTGTGGACACTGGAGGGCAAAGCAGTTGCATTTAGCAGCTTCCAGGGCTAGAGAGGAGCTGCAGCAGTGTTTGCATGTGGCAGCTTTAGTCTTGCTTCCTTGCCAGCAGTGCAGTGAAAGGGGGGGCTTCCGAGGCTGATTTGATCCTGAAGGGTTCATAGAAAGGGTTTAGCATCCTGCTCTGAAGTTCATAACTGAGTGGGACCAGTGCATCCATTTGAGAAGTGAAGGAGGAAGGGAGGGAGAGGAGAGGTGTGAATATTATTTGCAAGCTCTACAGCTCAACATGCTGAGAAATAGTGGTGAGCTCTGTAGTGTGTTCTCTGTTGGGGTGAGAGCCGTGGTGGCAAACCCACTTCTGTACCACTGGTGTGAGTGTATGTGGTAGCACTGCTCAGCTCTTAGCGAGAGCGCTGTCTGAAACAGCATTTGGTGGGTTCTCCCCATCAGCCCAGCCTGTGAGTGGCTTTTGTTTGCTGTAAATACCTCAAGTTAGGCGTAGAAAGTCTAGAAGAAACGCAAAGTTGATGTTACTGGCTTTGGCTGCCCCTAAAGGAGTTAATTGTGATGCCAAGGGGCATGTAGCAAGGCACATTAAGCCTTGCAGGACCTTGGTCGTGCTGCAGCTCTCACAAGCATTAGGTTTGGAGGGAGAGCCCACGCTGACACCAGGGATGTCCAGGTGAGGTGATACAGGGATGCTCCTGTGATGTTGCTCCAGCTCAGCATTGCACCATGGTTTTTGTTCTCAGTGGGCTCCACCGTCAGAGAAGCTCCTCCAGCTTGTGCCCAGCAAGAAGGGAATAACCAAGCACAGGGGGAGGTACTGTGCCAGCCAGAGTGTGTGTGCTTGGGAGGGAAGGAAGAGAAAAGCAGGATTTGGCCAATGTGAAGCCCAGCAGAGTGTCACTGCTGCTTGTGGTGTGGAGACCACCTTTTCATCAGCAGTTGTAGCAGACACAGAAGGATAAGTGTATTTGATCAAAGGGATAGAAAGCTGCTTTTGCTGGTGGGAGAAGCTGCTGTCCTGGTGAAGGGACTAAACATGATGCTGGTTTGCTGGTGGGTGATTTAGTACAGGTCAGACCGGGTTTGATGCTGCTTGGCTGGGTCTGTGAGGATGAGCACTTGGCATGATCTGATGGGAATTTGCTCTTCCAAGTCAGATAAGTTTGCAGATGGGATGCACGGCTCAGTGGAACATCTCCACCTGGTTCCTGCATTTAGGGTCATGCCCACCACTGATCAGCATATGTTAGTTAGAGATCCTTCAGGCTGATGGGCTCAGAAGTCTGCTGACACCGATCCCAAGCTGTTGCATTGGATTCTTGGTACCCTGTGCAGCTGGAAATCCCACAGCATCAGCTAATGCTTGGCAGCAGGTTGTGAAATGCCAGTTTCTCATGTTCCAAGGGCTGTGTCCTGTTTCTGATGTGTGCAGCCAGTCCCCCTGAGCATGGTTGTGATGGGATCTTGGTATCTCTTTCTTCCCCTGCCTCCTCTAACCAGCTCTGTGTAAGAGGAGGAGGGCAAAGCTGTGTGGGGAGCATCCATACGACTCATCCAGACCTTCCTGGGGACTGGAGAGCATCGTGTCCCAAAGAGCATGGTATGAAAGCTCCTGTGGTTCCTGCCCTCTGTAACCAGCCCCAGAGTTGCTTTTGTACTGCTGTAATCTTGATGTGCTCCTGTTCTCCAGCCCTGATGTGTTTCTACATCTGCTTCTTTCTCTGTGCACTGTTCTTTTGATTCATGGTTTAGCTACACCTGTAGAGTTGCCTTTCTTTACCGAATGTCCAGATGTGATATATTGTATATTTTAAAGTATTTACCCTATTTATATACTATGTGTTACTGTTAAATAAATATAAGTTCCATTATCTGTAGTGTTTTATTCAGTGCTGTGTGGGAGATGCTGAAAGCCTCTTGTCCATGTTCTGCGAAGCAGATGGGTCTGTTTTAACCTGGGCTTCCACCATTCCTTGCCCTGTAGCTCTTGTTCCTTAGGGATCTTCAGAAGAGCAAACTGGTTGTGGCAAAGACAGACATGAAAGCTGGAGATGGGCTGAGCACACAGGTCAGGTTGGATGGGGCTTGGAGCAAGCTGCTCTAGTGGAAGGTGTCCCTGCCCATGGCAGGGGGTTGGAATTGGTTCATCTTAAGGTCCTTTCCAACCCAAGCCATTCTATGACCAGACCATCCAGGCCCATCTGATCCAAGATGGTGTTGATTCAAGGGAGGTGTTGACACTGCTGCCTCCTGCAGCTGAGCCCGTTTTACCCTAAAGCTTTCATTGGGAATGTGGAAAGCTGCTGGACTTCCACCTAGCATCAGTTGCAGCTTCCTTTCAGCTGTTTCTCCTGATGTGTGTGGTTAGAGCAGCACTAGTTTTAGATCTTGTGTTATTTTGAGTAGTTTTGACTTATCAGCTAAGCCCAGCCCAACCCAGCAGTAGCCTTCTTTCTGCTTCCTGTCACACTGGGTCCCCGTATTCAGGTAACTTAATCCTCCATCAACAACCTAATGTGCTACCCTCTCTCTACAGCATTACTCCAGAGTCCCAACTCTTGTGTTGTTACACATCACCCAAGGAGGAGCGTGCAGGTTAAGTAGGAAGCTGCTGAGCAGTGCTGTGCTATGAAGCAATGAGATGCTGAGAGGTCTTGAAGGATCTGCTCGTGTTAAATCTTTCAGCAACTGCCTTGCAGTGAGTCACACACATCATCTGACACACCAGCCCCAGAGGCTATCAGCATTGCTGCTTCCATTTCAGCTGAATCATAGCTTCATAGCATGGTTTGGGGTGAAGGGACCTTAAAGCTCATCCAGTTTCAACCCCTGCTATGGGCAGGGACCCCTTCCACTAGAGCAGCTTGCTCCAAGCCCCTGTGTCCAACCTGGCCTTGAACACTGCCAGGGATGGGGCAGCCACAGCTTCTCTGGGCACCCTGTTCTGAAAGATCCCTCCTTGTTTCTCCCCATTCTGTGGCAATGTAATGAACTCACACGTTGAAAAGTACAAATTCCCAGTAGGAATCTTGGTGTGAGCTGTGTTCCAGTCCCAGAACCCACAGTAGACCTCAGCCCAGGGCTGCCTTCCTGCAAGCAGGTCTCTGCCCAGACACACCTTCCATGAGACCCTGATAGAGGAGGGATGTAAAACAACCACCCTTATGGGCTGAGATTTACCTTTTTAACGTTCCCCTGGGATATTTGGTTCAGGAGCAGGCTGCCTGGCTCAGCTGCTAAGAAAACACCCCAGTGTTGTGATGTCCTTTCCCACTGGTGGAGGCAGCAACCAGGTGCTCCACAGGGCATCTGGAAGAGCCCTCTAGGGTGTTTGTGAAGGCTTGGTTTGGGCTGAGCTGTTGTGGTGGAGCTGAAGTGCATGAGTTTGAGCTAAACTACTCACTGTTCTCTTTCTAGAGGAGGGGAAAGCGCCGCGTGACATCCTGTTCACACAGGCAGGTGGGGAAAAGCTGTTCACAACCTCTGCTGCATAAGAAAGAGACCGGGTTGAAGAGAAAGGTAGGACTGAAACACACAAGTCCCTACAGCAGGTATTAGAATCCAGAGGAAACGTGTTTAATCCAGGGCCTTCTGCTTGGGGTCGAGCAAAAAGCGAGTTAAATCAGGCAGTTTGGGTCCAGAGCAGGGTGTTGGGGTTAATGTGGTTCAAGCTTGGGCTGCTCCATTGCGCCAGCACCACTTCCCGCACCGTCACGTTCCCTATGGCCACCCAGCAGTGGAATGTGTGAGCTGGGGATCTCTGAGCTGGCTCCACTCATGCTCAAAGCAACAGATCCATTCCTCAGCTGGGATTAACCCACCCGGGCCCACCCTGGCTGTGCTGTGGCCCCGAGAGCCACATCCTCAATTCACACTGCAGCACTGAGCAAAGCCTTTGCGAGCGGCTGGGCTGCAAACCCCAGCAGGAACCAGTGGCCTCTGTCAGCCCCTGCGCTCCCCACGTCCCTGTTTCTGCTTCTGTTCAGAGCAACTTCCCCCTGCGCAGGGCCTGGGCTTCCCCAGCATGGGGGGGGAATGGGATGGAGGCCTCCATTAAGCCTTCAGGGCACGCTGCTTTCTGTTCCCTCGGGTGTTTGCGAGTGCCACGTTGCAGTTAGCCCGGGTCTCAAGAGCTGCATCCCAGTCTAATCACATTTGCAGCTGCACAGCCATCTCTTCTGTGGAAAACCAGCCCTAAATACCATTTAGGAACAGGATACACTCACTGTTGTCAGCAGGGAAAGAGGTGCTGCTCGACCTGGCGGGGTCTGTGCCCACATCCCTTGACCATCACTGCTCTGATAGCCACAGCCTTTCCTCCAAGAGCCCTTTCATCCCTATTCTGCTCCTACCAGTTACAAAGTGGGCTTAAAAGCCTTAAATCAGCCATAAGGGCTATTGAACAGCCGCAATAAGAAGCACAAAAGACACCCCTGCACCACAGGGATGCACCAGGACATCCAGAGCCGCCATCCAGTGCCATCTGGCCATGCTCTGCCCTGCTTTGCTGTGGAGCACAACACATCCCAAAGCTCTGTGTGGGGCAGTGAGCAGTTTGCTGGTGCACGGAGGAGGACATCCACTTCCTCAAATGCAAGGAGCAGAGCGCAGCCCCGGGCAGGGTGCAGGCTGGGACCACGCATCCCTGCATCCATCAAAGAAGGGAGCAGGAAAGGCAGCATCATCACCTCGGCATCATTGGGAAGGCAGAGAGGAGCTTCAGAGGAGAGCAGGGCAGGAAGGTACTTTTATGGGTTGTTCCGAGCCGCCCGCAGAGGAGGGAAGAGGAAGCACGTTGGTAAATCAACCCTTGCTGAGCTGTTGCTCTTGGTGCGGGGTCCCCATAGGACCTCAGGGCTTTGTTTCCGCCCGGCTCCTAAGCAAGGCCCCCCCCTTAAGAAACAAAAAGCCTTTCCTGGTCCGGAATGTCCCTCAAGCTGCCACGGAACTGGGATTTCAACCTCAGAATGGATGCTGCAAAAATAGGTACCGGGTTTCCTTATGCTCTTCTGTTCCTGCTTCAGCCATTCGGGGTCTGACGGGTGCTTGCGGCCAAGCCCAGCTGCAGTTCTGGCTATGGCCCTGACCCAAACCCACTTCTGGCCTCCAGCTATTTTTGGGACAGCAAATGAGGTGGTTTGCAAAGCTGTCACAGAGGGATGCCGTGCGCTGGGGCTGCCTCGGTGGGGTGGGGAACGGAGGGGCTTGGCATCACGGGGCTGCTGCCCACCCATAACCCAGGTTTGGGGGCGTCTCAACCACATGGGCTCCTTCTGCTGGTGCAAGCCTTGCAGTGTGGGCTGGAGGAAGCAATCTCGCCCTTGCTCAGGTTTCTTCTCCCACCCCAACGTCATCGGTTTCCTCTCACTGGTGGTGAAGAGCCCTCTGATGCCCATGCTGGGCTCTGTGCTGTGGGACAGCTTCACTGCCTGATTTCCTGGCTCATCTCCTGCTTCTGCTCATGGCTCCAGCATAAAACCCACTCGGGAACACCTCTGAGCCCAATGGCAGGTTCCTTGGCCAAAGCACACAGGAGAACCAAGGCCTGCTTTGGGGTCAAGCATCCCCAGTGGCGAGGATGCTGCCATTGAGGAAGGGGTGCACGAGTCCAGCCTTGTGCATGCACTGGGGCAATCTGTGCCCCTGGCACTGGCCAAAGCATGGCTGGGACACACTGACACCTTGATTTCTCCTAGCAGCAAACGGATTTGACCCTGATGCTGGTCGCTGTGCGCTGAGCTCTTCCTCCCTGTGCCTTGCAATGTCATCCTGGCTGGATTATCTTGCAAAGGGCAATTTGGTATTCCATCTGAAGCTGCTTTCATTGGGGTGGTCAAAGCTTCACCTCACACAAGGCCCCAAATGAAGAGTCCCCTTGGGCTCGGCTGTGCACAGGACGAGCCCCTGGGTCATCCAGGAGCTTTCATTCAATCCTAGAATGGTTGGGGTTGAAGGGACCTTAAAGCCCATCCAATTCCAGCCTCCTGACATAGGCAGGGACCCCTTGCACTAGAGCAGCTTGCTCCAAGCCCTGTCCAACCTGGCCTTGAGCACTGCCAGGGATGGGGGATTCAGGATGGAGCCCTCAGGCAGTGCCACCATCTGCATTCATCAGCCTGCAGGACAATAGTGGAGAAATCCCCATGTGGTTATCACAGAAGCATCCTGGATTTCTACACTGCCCATTTTTAGGATTATTAATATTGTTTTGCATGGAGGTCATGGAGCAATGGCTAAATCCTTTCTTGCTTTGGGGCTGGGAACCGGCCACTACTGTCTATAGGGCTGCAGTAGGGATGTGACTTGCTAGTGGAAAGCATCTGCACATTAGTCACCCTTGCTGGCTCCTCCTGGCTTCAGGACACTTCCCCCTCCTCACTCTGGGCCACGGCGGTGGCCCAAGCAGCTTTTGGAAGTCCCTGGGCAGCTCTTCCTCACAAAGCTCTTCAGTTCAACAAAGGAGATGCCATTTGTGATGCTCATTGCAGGAGGGTTGGACTGGATGAGCTGAAAAGGTCTTTTCCAACCCCATTGGCTCTAGGATTCTTGTGGCACTTTTGCTTTTGCAATGCCCAACATCCCTCCTGTGGGGAAGGAGCAGAGGAGATGGCAGGGAGGGCTCTTGCCCAAGGCAAGGCCTTTGATATGGATGCCACGGTGGGAATTCACACTTTGGGAGGGCTCCTCTCTGCGGAGTGCCCATGGCTGGAGGGAGAGTGAGGATGTTTTGGAGGAAACATTCAACTTCAGAGGCCGTTGCCACAGGAAACGCTTTGGGAGGCACCACATTTGCTTTTCTGCCCCACAAGGGTGGCAAGGAGGAGCCAAGCGTGGCAGGGATGTGGTGGTGAAGGAGATGATTGCAAAGGCT